TTGGGATTTTTTTTTAACAAAGACATGTTGCAGAATACATTTTGGCCTAAATTTATGATGAAATTTGATTTTTTAAATTTTTTTACTGGACATAATTAATAGCAAAAAGTTAAAAATATTGTTTTTTTTCTCAAAATTGTCAGACTCTTTCTTTTTATAGCGAAAAAAAAAAAAAACGTACAGGTGATCAACTACCACAGAAAGAAAGCTCTATTTGTGGGAAAAAAAGGACATAAATTTAATTTAGGTGCAGCATTGCATGACAGCACAATTGTTAGTTACTGTAATGCAAAAAAATGGCCTGGTCAGGAAGGGGGGTAAATCCTCTGGAGGGCAAATGGCTAGTTATAGGCATTGTGGGGAAATTTGTCTTTGAAGTTTACAACAGACTAAAAAAAAGCCTGAGCCTCATTTTGTGACATGTATCATATAAAAACTGACTGAAACCCACATTTACAACCTTTAGTGAAGGTTCACACTACAGTGGTGCGGTATAAAATATAATTGTGCTTGCGAGCTACTATGGTAAAAAATTTAGGTGCATAAATAATTTAATACAATAAAATAAAATAATATAACTAATTAATGTGGTTCACTGACACTGTTACACATACTCATATACCTATGTGAAAAAACTAATAAAAATATATAATAAGTGTTGCGCTCCACTAAATGAATTAAATATGTGAACTATATTCTATAAAGTGCTAAATGTCCTCAATAAATATTAATAATGACCATATATTAATTGATCCAAAGGCAACTTGCATAAAATTATATGGGGAAAAAACAAATGTATATATATATACTATGAATAACAGATAGTGAATATATAAATGTACACATTTATAATTTAATATATGAAAAATATATAAAAAAATTTAAAAAAAAATCAAAAAGTGTCCAAAAAATAAATTCCAATACTGTGTCCACTCCGTAAGTAATATTCTGAACAATTGGGTACACCTTTCTTAAATATGCGGTCACCTTAATTTTAGCCTAACTAAGGATTAGGCTAAAACAGCTTTTTGTCCTCAGTTGGACAGATGAGGTAATTTCCAGTGATGGTATACTTCCAGGTATATTGGTTTACAAGATGTAATACTTCAATTTTCCCTCCGGGGGTCTCTCAGGCTTGCTGATCCCTGTATTTGATCAGGATGGATGGATTTCTCCCCCCTGTCCTCCAGGGGTCTTATATTTCCTCTGCCTCCTCTCTTATTTCTCCATAGTTAGGGATTAATGAAAGAAAGAAGATAATAGTGCCTTATCCTTTAAACACTTTATTTGTAAAGCCACTAATATCTCACTCACATTTATAACAATATAAAACCGCTTTTAAATTCTCCTGTGTGTGCTCTGCACATTTCCTGTACTCGACGTATATTCTCCTGAATGCGTCGTGACATCAGAGCCCCTACACTTCAGTACAGAAAAGGTGTACCCAATTGTTCAGAATATTATCACAAAGTGGGCACAGTATTGAATTTTATTTTTTAGACACTTTTCTGATTTTTTATAATATTTTTTATATATCTTTCATATATTAAATTATACATTTGCACATTTATATATTCACTATCTGTTATTCATAGTATATATATATATATATATATATATATATTTGTTTTTTCACCATATCATTTTATGCAAGTTGCCTTTGGATCGCTTAATATATGGTCATTATTAATATTTATTGAGCACATTTGGCACTTTATAGAATATAGTTCACATATTTAATTCAATTAGTGGAGCGTGACACATGTTATATATTTTCTTAACAGTGGTGAGGTAAATCTCATGTGATTCACACAGGAACCTCACCGTATTCCTGTACAAATCACATGCGATTTGTATGCGGTGCGATTAGAGCCATACATTTTGCATGGCTCTATTCGCACCGCACCAAAAACGTGCAGGACCCTTTTTTAGCTCCGCACTAGAATCGGATCGCATAGGTATTCACACCTATGCGATCCGATTCTGCACATTGCACCGCGTTTTGCGGACTGATGACAGGGTGTTGTTAACTTAAAATACACACCTGCATCGGTTCGTATGAACGGGGTGTGATTGTGATGGGGTGCGGAATTCGCACTACAAATGCTGCAAATTCCGCACCGCATCAGTGTGAACCAGGGCTTAAGGTGGATTCACACTGCAACAGAGAGCGGCCGGCGGGAGAGATTCACCTCTCTGGCCGCTATGTGTTGAGCTAGGGGGCAGTGTAATGTGCAACTCAGAGCATCATATGGCTTCCCTTTTTTTGTTAATTGTTTTGAACAAAATTTATATGAAGTGTACAAAACGTACATTTTATTCACTGCTGTGTTGGGCAGCGCACTGTGCAGCACTGCCTGAAACTGCAGTGCAATCCGCGAAAGTGTGCTGCAATAAAATGCAGCATGTCTGCATTTTGTCACAGCACGCTGCAGCACAGTGCTAGGGTGCGTTACAAGGTGAGTAGGACACATGATAAATGGTTGTTTCTCATTTGTCTCTGCGGTAACAGACCATGCGGCACACGTCTGTCACTGCATATAGTGTGAATTGGCTCATATTGTGGATCTTACATTACACCTGTCTTGTTTTTAAACACAATTTAGGCTAGGTTCACATATGTGTGGGTGGTGCGGCTGCGGATCCGCATGAAAATCCGTGCAGCCGCACCACCTGCACAGAGGAAAGCGAACCCCGCGGGCAGGTGCCATTAGTTCTAATGGCACGCTGCTCGCACAGGAAAACGCAACCGTGCGGGGCTGTGTTTTCGGAAGAGCAAGGACTTCTACCCTGCATGTCACAGGGCACAGGACTCCATTCAAATAAATGGGCTGTCATGCCCACGCAAAACGCAGCCCGCATGGCCTCATATATGTGAACCAGGGGTGACTGTTAGGAGTATGTAAAAACATTAAAGTCTAACTCTAACTCCTCAAAAATGATCCCTTCCAGTGGGGGCTGGCACCAACACTTCAATGGTTAATTGTTCCTTTAGGTCCAGGAAAGAGGTTGGTTTCACACAGAGCTAAGAACTTGACATATTGTATAAGAAATTCAGTGTCTGTTTCACAAGCTTCTAGCTGCATGACTAAAAACTGCCAAACAACCTTGACCTTAAATTTAAAAAATACATCTGTGTAGTACAAAACATATTCTTTTTTTTTAAATAAAAGCAGCTGGTGCTTGTCAAACAACTTCAACACAGGGACAATAGAATGAAGAAAGAACTGGGGAAAAAAAAATTACTCACAACATCACTATTGTATACGTTATGTCTTGTCCAATAAAAACAGCATTGGAATAATTATGTATAATTATGTACATTGGTAATTGTTTATATGATTGACTGAAAGTAATATTTTTGTTACTGTGGCTTATATTTTTTTTCACTATATTGTTTTTCTTTTTTGGGAAAACGTTTGGGGAAAAATAGCAAAAAGGAAGGCAATTCATCACTTATGGCAACAGCGTGTAACTGTTATTCACTTATTTTTATCTTGCTAGTAAACAAAGCTGTGTAGGTAAAAATGGATCTAAGAAATGGAAAGAGACACTAATAAAAGCCTGTCATCAAAGCATTATACATGTTGAGCTGGGCTTTCTTTTCAGCGGGAATGCGGGTGAACGCAGTACGCAGTTCCGGCACCTCCAGCACTGAATGTATGTAATGGGAAGGGATGCTGGGTTGTGCTGGGGAGTCTATTGATGCTGGCTGTTGGGGATATATTTTTTCAGGAGGGGATCTATTTTTGCAGGGTACCTAATGTGCTGGGGATGTTGTTGTGGCGGGGGATCTATTGTTGCTGGGGTGGGGCCTATGTTGCTGGGGGGTCCATTGTTAACAGAGAGGTATATTCTTGATGGCTGCTGGACAATCTATTGATGCTGGCTGAGGGAAGATTCAGCGTTGCTGCTTGGGGTCTATTGTTGCTATGGGTATTTTGTTGTGGGTGGTCTATTGTTGCTGGGGGGGGTTTATTGATGCTGGCGGTCTATTATTGCTTGGGGATCTATTGTTGCTGATAAGATTTATTGTTGCTGGGGGGGAGGGGGGAGGGCTGTCGTTGCTTGGGGTCTATTGTTGCTGGCTACAGGCAACCTATTTTACTGCTTTTCTTGTTATCATTAACAAATTCTATACAAATTACTTAGCACCACAAAATGATACTTAGGTCTGTATTCTCTAAAAGAGAGGTACTGAGAGGTGGGTAGGGGGTGGAATCAAGAAACAGTGCTTGGAGGTGGGTAAGGGGCAAAGACAAGGGGTGACTTGGAAAGTGAGAGTTCTGCACCTATTGCCTGGAAAAAAAAGCCATGATGTTGAGCATATTATTTCATGATACTATACAGTCAATATTTTTCAAGAATAGCATTTATTGTATCAATATAATGGGTCAATTACTGTGCAAGAAAAGCAAATAGTCATATTCAATGCTAAGGTTTGTTAACCTCCCTAGCGGTCTGATTATGTCCATATTTCTGTGCTCAAAGCGGTACATTTTTTTGCATGGAAATATGTATTTTTTTTATTGTAGGTCTGTAATTTTTAGGAATAACTCACCGAAATCTGTCCGAACAAGAGTCTAGTAAACATCCCGGGTATGAAACACGAAATCATAAATTATAATTGAATAAATAATCATAAAAAAATAATAATATAATAATAATAAATTTAATTCAATAATATAATCAAACCAAAAACACTGAAATTTGAAATGTAGCGCCAAGTTCACATATCACTGAGCAAAGTCGCAAAATCGCTTTCAGTGTCTGATGACGAATTTCCCCACGAATCATTATCACTCAATTCTGCAAGTAGTTCTAATTTACTATCGCTGTCCTCTAGCTGGTCTAAAACCGCTTTTGACCTAAAGGGACGCTTTTTGGACGCCATGGACTTTTCTAAGTTTCCAGGCAGAAAGAACAGTCAAAATGCAGGCAGGGCGCCGGACAAAATCTATGTGAAATTCTTTGATACAGTAATGTTATACTATGTGATTTTTGTGATTTTAGTGAATGTCACTTTTTGTCATTCTCAAATTTCCCGCCGTTCCGTCCCCCGTACGTCCCGACGCTCGCAGAGGATGGAACCCCGAAGACAGATGCCGGCATCCGCCGGATTACATTGCCGGGGACACTGCAGGAGGGACATTGCGGGGAGCGCAGGACAAGGTAAGTAATCGAGGGATCCCGGAGCAGCGCCGCATGGTAAGCCCGAGTGAAGCTCGGGGTTACTGCTTGTGGTACTGAAACTTTACACTGAGCTACACTCGGGAATACTGCCAGGGAGGTTACACCACACACATGACAAGCCAGAAATGTCTTAGAATCTTCTAACGCGATGCTTGATTCTTTCTATCACTGCTGTGACCCTTGAGAACAACCCTAGGAATGACCTTATATAAACCTTCTGCTTGTGTGTAGTAGTGGTCTTTTCACCATCCTAAGCAACTACAAGAATTGAGGAGATGGTAAGAATAAAGTACAGCCAGCTCTACCAATTAATAAATGCATGCCAGTGATTGTAATGCAAATTAATATATCCTTTGACTTTCAGGGGGGTATGCTTGATTATTGTGTTTATCTCAGATTTGCACATAACAGAATTTTGTGTAGCTTTCATGCCAAAGATGACAATTACCCACAACAGCCAGATGTTAGCTATTGAATCTCTAACTTGCATTGGGAAAATGTCACCTGGTTTCCAATTAGCTATTAAGGCAACGCCTTTCATTATCTTTGCTCTGGTTATTTTAAGTAAGCTTCAATATGTTCTGCATATTTATTTTAAAAAAAAAATGAGTTTTAAGATCACAATAGGGAAACATAACAGAATAGCTTGAACAAAAATTACTTGAACAAGCAAGTAAACTATATTATTAGTTGTTTTTTTTTAAACGAATGGTGACTTTCAGGTATTAGTCAGAACTAAGGAGAGACATTTAGGGGAATTCAATAAAGCAGTAATGACACTTTTCCGGTGGTAGTTTCCTTGATTCAGACAAGCATTTGCACCATTTTCTGTAACATTACCAACCCAGGTGACAAATAAAGGTAGTTCTAACCACCATTACTTTAACCCCTTTGGTAAAACAAATCTTAACACCTAAGCACAATTTTGCATCTTTGACATGAGTTGGCAAAACCTTACACATCATCACAACTACTTTGTGCATTCAGGTGGATTATACCTTGTTTCTTTCAGGACAAACTGGGCTTTCATTTGATGGTAAATGGTCATGGACATCTCCTGATTTTTTTTTAATTTAATTATCAAAGGAAAACTGGCCAAAAGTAGTAATAGAAAATCTTTTTTTTTAATTTAGCTGTATATTTCTTGCTACTACCATAACCTACCTCCAAAGAACAACCCAAAATAATTTCTCTTGCTCCTGACGATCGCAGTGATTCCACATGTGCATGTTAGTTGTTGTGTGCACCATATTATAGCCCAGAAACAATAGTACACATTGTGCTTTTTTAATCCTGCCACTAACTGACACTGATACTGATTTAAAAATGAAAAATAAAAATCCTGACACCCCCAAAAAAAAAATACTGACCCTGACCTTTGACCCTGGCATTGACTTTTGACCCTGACATTGACCCAAATACTAACCCTGGCACTAACCTAGATCAAACCTTGATCTATGCATTTTTTTTTTTTAATTTTATCTTTTTATTATTATTTTTTATTTATTAATTTTTTTTTTTACACTCTTTTTTTTTCTCTCTGAAAGGACAAAGACAGGTACAATGTATCTCTTTCCTCCATTCAGAGAGAGAAAACACGGGGGTGGGCTTCACAGTGAGTGATCACTGTGATAGTCAATCAGAGGCTATCAGGAGTTCCAGGCCCCAATCATTAGAACAGGACCCAGGGCTTTCTGTGACATCCTGGTCTCTGTGCTGAACTGTATTGTTACTGTATTGTAATAATAGTTTTGGAGTACAGAAGGATTAAAACACCCATTAAGTTTGTTTGCTGACTGTGTCATCCTCTTTATTTGTCCTGTTTACCATTATCATCAAAAGTGAAAGAAAAATAAAACCCCAAATTCTGGATTGTCCCCAGAGAAGTAATAGGGGGGAAATGTTCCAATGGGGAGACTAATTCTGGTGACTTGGGGGTCCCCAAGGCATTCCCTTAATTTGCAGGGATTCCCTCTCACTTCCTGTTTTGGATATTGGACAGGAAGTGGAGATACATCTCTACAGTGGGACACAAATGGCAAAACAGAAACTCTCCCTTACTCTATCCAAAATGAATAAAAAAAAGTTTTTTTTTAACGTATGTAAATCTTAACAATTGACTTCTCTTATTTGCTTTCTTTGGTATGTCAAATATGCCATTGAATGTGTTTGGTTATATCTATTTAATATTTTCAAAAATTCCTGTTGATTCTACCTATAAATTCAATGCTGTCCTGTCTCAAGCATTGTTATCAGACCTGCCCAGTACACCTCTGGGAGCTACAAAACACCTTACTCCATGCTATAAGATATAGGGGGAGGTGTTCTGTAGCCAGAAACCACTGAGTAGCCTAGGGAGATAACACCCCTTCTCCACAAATGTAGTACAAATAAATGTTGTCACACTAGGACAGGACGTGTGTTACCGCAGGACCACCAGGTGAAAATAAATGAAAAAGCGCTTGGAAAAAGGAATGCAGCCACCACATCTAAGGATGGGTAAGCTTGAATATATATTATGTTTGATCTCCAGTTTAGAATCAGTTTGTTTTAGTCTAAAATCAGTAACATAGAACAAACAGAAATGTTTTTACTGCTTTTCATAAGTTGTATGTTCATCTGATTATAAATTGCATTACCTGGTCTCAGTATTTTAGTGATATGCATAGCTATGATTGTGTGTCTTTAAGTATAACGATAGCTTTTTACTGGTAAGCTATTACAAAACGGCGCAATTACTGATCCCAGATTAAAAAAATGAATTGGCTTTCATTGTGCGGTACAAGTTATGGGCAGCTACAAATAGCCAGAAAAGCAATCACCACCTTAGTGGGTTTCTATTGTGCATCTTTCCAAAGCAATTTTTTACTTCAATTTTCTACTGGTGATATGAAGCCGAAAATGAAATAATGCTTTAGTGGATAGAAATAAACTCACCAGCTGCTTAGTTCTTTCACAGTGACATTTTTTCCTGCTTGATGTGGCATACGTTCCCTTTGACATGTGCAGAATGTAATGGGGAATACGATGATACAATTGTACTGTGTCCAGAACAATTAAACAAATAATTACAGAGATTCACCACTCAGTTTTCAGTTAAGAAAAATGATTCTGTCTGACTGCAGATCAGTCTATTCTTGATATTGCTTTTTTTCCTGGATAATAAAACACGGGGTTAGGAATTTTACTGCTCAAAATCCTACCGTATGGGAATATTAAACTCTGTTTTTAGCCTGCTTATTGTTTGTATGGAGCAGCTATATTCTGCATATATTTCCAGTGCAGTTATTTTTTTAAATAAAGCAGTTTATAAAATGCAAAATCTGCATTTTATATATTGCTCTTAGGTTGAGTTATAGAGAGAGAAGAAAACACAATTTCCCTATTGCCTCCTGTGACTCTCAGAAACACTTTGCTGTAAAAAGCTGATTCTGGATAGAAAGAAGTTAAGGAGCTTGTTTCCTAAAGCTGGACTCATGCTGCATGGACCCCAATCACTAAAAGGGAAAATGAAGCTTACTTGCTTGTGAGCTCCCACTTACAGACACAGTAGCGAGTCCTTAACATGTATACACCTATGGGTGATCAAGAAAATAAATAATGGAAGATCTCTTTTTTCAGTACAGTTAGAAACATGGCATCAAGACAAGAAATTTTTAAATATCACTTAAAACAGTAAAAAAAATCTTTATGAATGGACCTTACCTTTCATTAAAGGAGAAGTTTGCCCAATGCTTTTTTGGCTATACTTCTCCTATGGATCACAGTGTAGTTTGTTCTGCACTGCTATGACCCATTTTCAACCAACAGAGAACTAAAGCACGCTGACGGCTGATGCCATCCACCTGGTCCAGGCTGGGAAAAGATCCTGACTTTACAGTCGGGATCCACTCAGATGCCTGGACCTGAGCCAGCTTATTCCACCCTCCACAGTCCAACACTCAAATTAGAGCTGGGGCGGCAGAGCAGAGAGCTGGTGACTGACAGTCATGGTTCTCTGCTCAGAGCACAAGGGAGAACTGAGAGTTCAGTGGTGTTTGATTGCTCAATTCTCAGTGCTGCATTAACCCAGTTGAGTACTGAGGCAGTATTAAGTGTCCTTAGTTCAGAATCTGCAAATGAAGAAAACACTTGGGAATGTAGGTCAGTTAGTGGACGATGCAAAAACATTAAACATTCAGTCAAAGCTCTATAAGCAAGAGAAAGATGGGAACATGTTGTTTAGTTTTTTGGTGCATGCACAAAATATGAAGAAAAAGGTCAAATATTTAGACATTTGGGGTGTGTATTTGAAAGAAATATACTTTCACATTCATTTTTTAAATTCCTGTTTATATCTTTTAACTCACTCCCACTAGCTTGAGGGTGACATGGGAAGTAAAGTTTCATTCATTAAGGTTTATGCTCCAGACCTGACTTGCAGTGCTTTGCCAAGTTCTGTGCATTGCATTTTTCTGCAGAGCATTGCACTTCACATCACGACTTTGTTGTGAATGAGGCACAAAGAACACAGTTGTTTTTTTATGTGCCGTAGCAGGGAATTGTGCAGAAAACACAGGCTACCGCATATACACTGCACAAAAAATTAAAGGCACAATTTTTAATCAGAGTATAGTATCAAGTCAAATAAGCTCCTGGGATATTGATCTGGTCAGTTAAGAAGCAGAGGGGGTTGTTAATCAGTTTCAGTTGCTTTGATGTTAATGAAATTAACAAAAGGTGTACTAGATGGGCAACAATGAGACAACCCCAAAACAGGAATGGTTTTACAGATTCCTTACTCATCTTTTCTGACTGTTTTTCACTAGTTTTGCATTTGGCTAGGGTCAGTGTCACTACTGGTAGCATGCGGCGATACCTGGACCCTACAGAGGTAGCACAGGCAGTCCAACTCCTGTGCAACACGGGGTTAGGAATTTTACTGCTCAAAATCCTACCGCATGGGAATATTAAACTCTGTTTTTTAGCCTGCTTATTGTTTGTATGGAGCAGCTATATCCTGCATATATTCCCAGTGCAGTTATTTTTTTTTAAATAAAGCAGTTTATAAAATGCAAAATCTGCATTGAAATATATAATGAAATTATATATGGAGGACACTGACATTTTTTCCCTACTCATCTTTTCTGGCTAGTTTTGCATTTGGTCAGTGTCACTACTGGTAGTATGAGGCGATACCTGGACTCTACAGAGGTTGCACAGGCAGTCCAACTCCTCCAGGATGGCACATCAATACGTGCCACTGCCAGAAAATTTGCTGTGTCTCCCAGCACAGTCTCAAGATCATGGAGGAGATTCCAGGAGACAGGTAGCTGCTTAGGAGACCTGGAGGTGATCTTTAACACATCAGCAGGACCAGTATCTGCTCCTTTGTGCAAGGAGGAACAGGATGAGCACTGCCAGAGCCCTACAAAATGACCTCCAGCAGGTCACTGGTGTGAATGTGTTTGACCAAACAATCAGAAACAGACTTCATGAGGATGGCCTGAGGGCCTGACATCCTCTAGTGGGCCCTGTGCTAACTGCCTGGCACCATTGAGCTTGATTGGCTTTTGCCATTGAACACCAGAATTGGCAGGTCCACCACTGGCGCCCTGTGCTTTTCACAGAAGAGAGCAGGTTCACCCTGAGCACATGTGACAGACGTGAAAGGGTCTGGAGAAACCATGGAGAACATTATGCTCACAAGCTTGGCTGAGAGCAGTGGGAGACAGTGGGGGATGATTTACTAAAACTGGAGAGTGTAAAATCTGGTGCAGCTGTGCATGGTAGCCAATAAGCTTCTACTTTCAGCTTGCTCAATTAAGCTTTGACAATAAAACCTGGAAGCTGATTGGTTTCTAAGCAGAGCTGCACCAGATTTTGCACTCTCCAGCTTTAGTAAATCATCCCCATTGGCTCTTGTTCCTGCCAGTAAAATCATGTGAGCAGTGAGTGGGGGATAGGGCTGAGTCGCGCTGTGTATGTCAATAGACACATACAGCCCAGTTTGAAACTAAGCCCCACACCTCTGCCCCCATAGCAAGCACTTGATATGTGAGCAGACAAAGCTGAAGGAGAAGCCAAGATTGCCAGTGGAGAGACCTCAGAAGTGGAGGTTTGGGCCTGCTCTGTGCAATACCATTGAACATAGCAGGTGAATATACCATGGTTTTTATTTTAATTTAAAAACTTGCCTTTATAAAAACTTTAAAGGATAAGTTCACCTTTGAGAACATGGTCCACCCATTTTTTTTGGTGGAACATATAACATGTTCCCACTCTTGCAGCCACCTCCCAATCCCCCTGCTAATTGTGACAGCGGGCTGGGGATCTTTTCCCTGCACCCGCTGTCACAATTTGAAAAGAATACTGCTGTGTAGGGCTCTAGCATTCATTCAATGAGTTCTGTAAACGAATGAACTACAAGTACTGACAGCCTTTGTGACTGACAGCTTGTAGTTCTCAATGAACTACCAGAGCACTAATGAGCATTCTAGGTAGTTCATTGAGTCGTCCTGCCATTGTATCACTGCCTGTCTGTATGAGGTATAAACAGACAGATACACTGACAGTCTACAGGAGTCCTGAGTTGCACCCTCAATCTGCTGATCGTGGGTGCAATGCTTTACAGGCTCCTAAAATTATTTTTTTTTTTACCTGCGAAAAAATGCGCATTTATTATTTGTTTTAGAAAAGTAAACTTATCCTTTAACGTCTTCCCTCATATTGAATAGCCTCTCATCAATAAATGATAATATTTTCAGGTAAACATATTTGTACTTAAATTTTCTTTCCATCATTACAATAAAATGTCCTCTCTCTGACACTGCTTATCAAAATGGGCACAAAACACATCAGCACAAGGTCTGGTTCAAACACACCTGTAATAGACCCTGTTTCTATGGGCTCTAATTGGCCCAATTTCTACTTTCTTATTAGGTAAACTATCTAAGACATAGAGTCTTCAAACATCTCTTTACCAGTTCACTTCCAGAGGGAGAAGGTATGAGTTGCTTTGTCCAGCAGATCAAGCAATATTTGCAGTTTTCAGGATCCCTATTTACTACATTTTAAACACAATTTCAAACATGCAATAGCTATTATTACAATAGACTCTGTGATTCTAAGGGGTCCTTAACCATTAGCCGCCTGGCCTATAGCCGTTTGTAGCTTTCCGGGCTATACGCCATTTGGCGTCCTCCCGCACATGCGCAGTTCGCGCGGTTGCAGAGCCGTGCAGCGGCGCGATCTGTCACCGGTCGTGTACCTCGGACACGGCCGATGACAGATCTGAGTACCGGCCCCTGTTGCCGGTACCATGTGACCTGCTGTGACCAATCACAGCAGGTCACATGACAGTTGTATACAATGGATGGCTTCATTCATGCTATCCATTGTATACTAGTGCCTAGCTGTGAATGGTCACAGCAGGTCACATGCACATGTCATGTGATTAGCTGTGGCCAAAAAAAAAAAAAACCTGAATGAATCGATGTCATTCAGGTAAATGCTTGCTTTGAGCAAAGTAATTCTTTGATATAAGCAAATTGTGTAAAAAAAAAAAAAAAATACTGATCACTTCCCCAAAGTAGTACAATGTTACTATGGTAACATTGTACTACTTTGGTCATAGTAAAATACGAAAAAAAAATCTTAAAAAAAAAAATTGTAATAAAAAATTAAAAATAATAAAAAAATTAAAGAAAATAAAAAAATATATATATATTTTTTTTCATACTGTCACCAGTCAGTGTCCCTGTTCACCGCTATGCCAGTTATATGATGACGCTGTACTGCACTGGTGACAGTATGTAAAAAAAAAATAGTGAAACTAATTTTTTTCATTTTTTTCATTTTCCGAAAAATTATGACAAAAAAAATACAACTTCAAAAAACTTGCCATTCCTCTTATGAAGTACGTTGGACTGTCTACTCTGCAAAAAGGGGTCATTTGGGGGATATCTGTACTATTCTGACATTCTTGGACCTCAAGAAATTAGATTGGCTGTCAGTACTTCAGGATTGATCAATTTTCAGATCTATAGCATAGTTTGTGAACTCTATAACTTTCCTACAAACTAAATAATACATCCTAATTTGGGTTTTTTTCACCAAAGACTTGTAGCAGAATACATCTTGGCCTAAATTTATGAAGAACAATTATTTATTTGTAAACTTTTATAACAGAAACAAAGAAAAACGTGGGTTTTTTTCAAAATTTTTGGTCTTTTTTTGTTAATTTAGCAAAAAAAAAAAACCCCAGTGGTGATTAAATACCACCAAAAGAAAGCTCTAGTTGTGTGAAGAAAATGATAAAATTTTAGTTTGGGTACAATGTTGTATGACCGCGCAATTGTCATTCAAAGTGTGAGAGCGCTGAAACGTGAAAACTGGCCTGGGCAGGAGGTGCAAAATTGCTCGGTATTGAAATGGTTAATATTCAATATACATCTTACTACCCCATAACATAACCATAGGCAATGCTACTTGCAGGCTGTTTTATGTGAATAAATCTGTCAGGCTGCTTAGTTTTATGTAAAACTCATTAAACATGAAAATGTGGATTACTTTTGTTTAAAAAATATGAACCTAGTGAAGTAAGAGGATTTCCCATTCATTATAAGTAAATCAAAGCAGCACTTGAACGTCTGCAAACAGTGTTAAAATGTCTGATTATGAAAAGGATCAGGTCAGACACTCAAGCACTGCTTGTGCCACAGTAAGAACATATTTTAACACTTGATTTTACCTTGAAAATCTGCTGTGAAATCTTTGAAAAAATAACCACAGGGCGGTAGGACATTTTGGAAGCTCTGTTTATCGGTTGTTCAGTCGCTGAATTAGATTGTAAACTAAAGCTGCGTTTATATCTGCCAAAATTCAGTTAGTTCAGCAGGAACTGGCCAGATTTCTGTCTGTGTGTACCCCTTTCTGTTCAACAGAAGCTGACCTAGTGATCTGCTTCTGTCAAACAGTCATGCTGGAAACCCAGTATTCAATCAGGGCTTGCAGCCAATGGATGCAGCACTGATCTGGATATTCTGATGGGGGGGCCCTCGCTGTCAGAATTCAGGATTGCAGGAGGGAGATGTCTGCATCATTTGGCTGGATGCAGTGATCTGTAAGGGTTTTTTTTTTTTTTCGGTCAACCCATTGGTTGAATGAAGAAAAAAACTATGCACATATACCCTGCTTTAAAGCCCTAAAGTGGGCCTTTCAGCAATTTACAAGTGTGCACAAATAAATTCCTTTGTTTAGACTGAGACGATGTCATCAGTCTGCTGCAGGCAGGAGAAAGTATTTCCTCAGTCTTTTCTATGCCAGTAATAAAATGTTCAATAGTTACTCTAGGGCATGTCGTAAGGTGAGAAAATGCAGTTCTGTGCCAGACATTTGTGAACACAGCAAAGAACTGCACAGACACCAGGGTTTACAAAAAAGTGTCTTCTCTGAGCCAACATTTTAGTTCAAAAGTAGATGCTGACCCTGGCTAATGCCTGAACAAAGATTGCATGTGTCCTTCTACAGAGAAAGAATATTAAAGGGATATGCACACTGGACTTAAAATAAGCATTAAGGATCTTTTATGAGCAGTTATGAGTATTTATGCCAGAAAACACCTCTCAAAGATGCAAACCAGAATGGATGTTTTATACCTTTAAACTCTGTCCAAACTCTAAACTTAAAATATGCCTCTAAATGTCCTAATGTGCATGGACACATAGTATAACATTGAGCTGCTTCTAAAGTCAAAACACAGAGCTGCTGTAGAAGCAGCATTTTCCAGGCCCAGTGTGCATGGACCCTTAAGCATTTTCAAAGGGAGGATTCTGATATCTGTTAGAGGTAATAAACTCCTGTGAGTATTACATCTACTACAGTACAATACCTACTACTTACACCTACTAGTTACACCATTGGGCAGCACAATGGCTTACTGGTTAGCACTTCCACCTGGCATTACTAGGGTCGCTGGTTCGAATCCCAACCACGGCACCATCTGTCTGGAGTTGGCATGTTCTCCCTGTGCTTGCATGGGTTTCCTGCTGGTACTCTGGTTTCCTCCCACACTTCAAAGACATGCTGGTTAAATGGATCCTGTCTAAATTGACCCTAAAATGTGTATGTATGCTACTGTATGTAATAATCCTCTGAATAGCCCTGACAGTGTGTACAACAGACACTTATGCTAATATCATAGAGTTATTGCTAGGATTTGTAAGTTTCCTCCTTCTCTGTAAAAAAAGTGGTTGTGGCAGTGTGAAGGGTTAATTGCGTAATTAACCTAACCCAGTAACAATCACTCTTAGGCTGCTGGCACATAGATTGTAGTCCCGCAAACTGGAACATCTTTGTGCAGGGTGCAGCTGAGAGTGGCATTGTTACGCAAGTGACAGAGCAGTACGAAATCAGCTGGTCCTTCGGTTACGAGTTGTTGAGAAGGACAGGGGTCACTGTGTTCCATCACAGCACTCATTTACCTAAACTGCACATACATTTTCAATCAAATGTCACCCAGCCCTTCTCCTTATCACATTCAATACATAGATCAGGGATATCCACCAGCAGGTCCATACTTCTTCTGATGGCTGCGGTCTCCCATGATGTCTACAGCCTGGCAGGTACAAATCTAGAAATAAGGTGCATGTGCATTAAACTTGAATAGGATGCTACTCTTGCTATATGTGTAGGTACCATGTATAGATGTATAGGATGTTAGTGTATAGGCATTGGATTGCTACCTGTTGCAGATATTGCAGGAGGCCACAACCATTGGTGGAGGTAAGTATGAATGTGCTGTCCTAATAAGGGTTAGCAGAAGAAGCAGCATTGTGTTTCATTCCAAAACTGAATTTACTTT